CTGGGCATGAACCGAAAGTCCTGAGTAAATGTGTGAGCTATTTGATCCCAATAAACTGCCATTTGTAAAGATAGGAGTGGTCAGGCCGGGTCCAGTCAGGAGGCAGACATAACGCGGGGGCTGGAGTGTGGGAAATCACATCGAAAGACCGCATGCGCTGTTGGAAGGAGTGCTCGGACGGCTAAGGGATGGCACAGTGCGGAGCAGCCGCAGCCCAGCGCAGGCGTCAGCTGAGTCTTGCCAGGTCCGAGTGGTTGAGGGGAGTCCTGGCAAGGCTGAACCTGCAGACCTGGGAGGAAACATATCCTGGAGAACCAGCTGTATAGGACGGGGTTCCACTGGGGCTCTCTGCAGAGGTCCCTGAGGTGGGGTTCTGGCTCAAGCTGCTGTTGGAGACATCAGAACCAGAAAGGGTGCCTGTGTGGTGTGCTGAGGACCCTGTTTTTGTACCACGATGAAATGCTCCTTCTGTACTTTCCCCACATCCTCCCCCAGAGGAAACTTGATCTTCCTGCCAACGGGACAGGAAATGTAGGTAAAATGTCCAGACTAGTGGTCCTCAACTCCCTAATGCTGCAGATCTTTAATACAGTTTGGTGACCCCCCCCAACCATAAAATTATTTTTGTTGCTACTTCATAGCGGTAGTTTTGCTACCGTTATGAATGATAATGTAAATATCTGTGTTTTCCACCGTCTTAGGCAGCCCCCGTGAAAGCGTCCTTTGGCCCCAAATGGGCTCACAACCCATTAATTGAAAATCACTGACCTAGACAATTTAGAGACTTTGTAGAGCCAGCAGTGTTAAGGGGAGTTAAAGCTGGTAACTGGCACAGGAATTTAAAAACGATTGGTGCTTGCCTTAGGGTTAAAAATAAAATTAGAGGAGATAAACCTACAACTATTAGTTTATGTTATAAAATGAGTTCTTTGAGTTTATTGACATACTGATGTATAATAGACTCACACTGGGTTTGAGGAATAGACAAAATAATAAGAACATTGATCTTAGAGAATGTAGCTGGCATTGGTCCGCTGAAGGAATTGGTACCTGTGACTAGCAGAGGATTCTGGGAATCAGAGGCTGCTCTCTGGCCAGCTTAAAAGAACTCTCACATACTGAGTATCAACTTAAAATTTTAGCCTGAACAATCGGTTCCAGGGAGTGGCCGCTTCTCCCAAACCTTAGAGACTTTTGGTAGCAGCCTAGAAACCCTCTGGGATGAAGTTGGGAGACCTAGCTCTTCACAAAGCCCAGGGGGAGTGATCCCTGTGAAGCAACAGAGGATCATTTGGTGTGTAAAATGTGTGGAAACTTGAACTGGATCGGGATGGCGTGACGGCTGAATGCAGTCAAAGGACATTTATTTTTAGGTTTATTTTTGCGTGTGTACCACTTTTGTGTGGGTGCCCACAGAGGTCAGAAGAGGGCATCAGATCTCTAGGACCTGGAGTTACAGGGGGTTGTGAGCGCCCAGGTGGATGCCGGGAACTGAACTTGGGTCTCTGGAGAAGCAGCAGACATACTCTTAACTGCCTGAACAACCTCTCCAGCCCCAGGAAGTCAATAAGTTAATAATTCTCACGTGTGTGCTTGAGGCATATTTGTGCATACCTTCGCTGTCATGTGCATGCGGACGTCAGAGGGACCTTTGTGCAGTCAATTCTCTCCATCCGCCTTTATTTGGGGTCCAGGGATTGAAACTGGGTTGCCTGGCTTGCACTGCAAGCTCCTTTGTAACCCAGACCCATCTTGCAAGCTCTCCAGAAGTGCCTCTGGCTACAACCCCATCAGTTTGTTTTGGCCCTGTTGTCTGTTCAGGTCCGACTATGCAGATGGATTTGAAAACCTTCTGGATTTCTCTTTGGAGTACGAGTTGGCCACCTTCTTTATACCTCATAGGGTAATTATTTCATATTGCTGTTGGCAAAATGGGCCATTTGTGCTACCCCAGAGAAAGAGGCAAGATAAAGTCCCTCTGGTACGCTAATGGCAGTGTTTTATTTTTATAAATCATGAGTGACCTTTATAGGCAACTAGGCTTGCTACCTAATTATTGCCAGAGCTAAAGAATGTGGGACAGCCACAATTTGTAGAGAGTTCATTAACATTTCGCCGGCTTCTAGTTTTCAGCCCTAATAAAAAGGAAAGATAGCGAGTCATATCGTCAAGTTTGCCGCTGCCTCATCTTGAGGTCTTCCTGAGTCAGGCTCAGTGGTGGTAGGGGTTGAATTAAGGTAGTTTTCATTGCTTGAAGAGATATTCCTTTATATTTACTTTTTTTTTTAATTTTCTGGTAAAATTATTGGAGACCAGTTCTGTACTGAATTTGAGGGAATGTATTGAATCCACTCCCCCCCCCCACACACACTTTTTGGTTTTTTGAGACAGAATTTCTCTGTGTAGCCCAGGCCGTCTGTAATTTACTCTGTTGGGTGGGTGGCCTCAAACCTAGAGATCCCCCTTCCCCTGTCTCCCAAATTCTGGGATTAAAGGCGTGTGACATTATGACAAGCTTATGTAGTATTCTATTTGTATGAGTGTTTTGCCTACATGTATGGCTGTGCACCACATGTGTGCAATGCCTGCAGAAGCCAGAAGAGGGCGTTAGATGCCCTGAAACTGGAGTTACAGACAGTTCTAAGAGTGCTGGTAATCAAACTCAACTCCTCTGAAAGGAAGTTTAATTCTGTCCCTTTGAGAATGAGCTTTGTGTTTCCAGGGGACAGGTAGCTGGGACTATAAGAACTCAAAGTGTTCCAGAGGACAGTGACTGATTTGACCCTTGTGCCTCGAGCTACCAACGACTAAGATGTGCCCAAGAGAGAGGCTGTCTGGGATAACCTGGGGTTTCTCGAATTCCTCCAGTGTGACATTTTCCAGTGCATGCAGGCAGATTGGACAGAGTACTCATTCTGTCTGCTGATGTAGATGGAGTAGCCCTTTTCCAAAATGGTAGGGACCAAAATGGTTTGGCTTTAGGTGAGGCTTTGGAAACCCTTGGTTGTATAAGATGAGCTATCTGGGGGCTGTGACTGGGCTCTAAACACAATTCATTGGTTCCTTATAGGCCTGTACACGTGGCCTGATGATGATTTTTGCATTGTTTTATTGTGCTCTGGCATTTTGATCTTGACCCATTACCTCCTGAAATGCGGTGTGAAGTATTTGAGCTTGTTGAACTCTGCAAGTGAGCAAAGAGTTTCAAACCCAAGAGCATTTTGGATTTTGTGCGTAATAATTATGATAATTCTGTCATGCGAAGCTAGGCAGGATAACTAAATCCCAAGTGATGGGGTCGGGACTGCCAAGGCTGTCCGCGCTCTCGAGTGTTGCGCCGAAAAGAAAGTGGATTTAGGAAAGATAAGTGGGCAGTCCTGTGAATTCAGAGATTACACACACGTGCGCATGTACACACACACACACACACACACACACACACACACACACACACACCCCTCGCAAAAGCGAAAACATCTGATGGCAGGTGTGGAAAGACACAGATTTTTCAACTTAGGTTGGACCGGTGCCCTTGCCCAAGCTGTTGTTAAGGTCAAGGGCAGGAGTCCTGTGGGTTCAGGCTGCAGCACAGGGTTGGCGACAGGTCTGCAAAGCTCACAGGAGGAACTGGGGAGGGCAGAGCACGTGTTGCCTGGGGAAACTAAGACCTGGAACACGACAGCTTCTTTCACACCGTCAGTTCTCCTGTGCAAGGAGCTGCGTGTTCAACTGTTGCCTTGTGGAATAAAGGGGAGATAAATGGGTGCACATTTCAGGAGGCAGCGTGGAGCCTAGAACTAAGAATGTTCTGGGGATTTTCTACATACATGATGTTTAGTTTCTCATGTCTTCAGAGGTTGCCTGGCTGTTGCGGATGACATAGGACCGATTTAGGTTTGGAGGTAAAAGTTAGGTCAGGTGAGCTAACATTCCATTTTCTCTCTAGTTTATAATTGCTGTTTTCCTTGCCTTCTGCCTCTAGGGTGTACTTGGGAGGTATAGTATAATAATAGTCCTAAAATTGTATCTCCTTGTCAGGAATCTTCCACTTTGTACCAACTGCCAGCAATTATAATTAATGTTTGGAATTAATAGGATTTACTTATTATGGTGCCATTTATGTAATATGTACCCTTCATTATTTAATGGGTGGCAGGATTTTCATAATCGTTGCCGTGATCAGTATCATTTATTCGCTGTCCCCCTGTGAATCATTTGGACCACGACTATAAGCAGTTCAACATAGCCGACCGACATCTAAGAGCCTGTAGGGTGGGACTGAAAATCACTGATGTGCTGAACAGCATTGGTCCTGATGCTGCTGAGCCTATGTGTACTGCAGTTTCTATTTTTTTTATTTAGATAGCTTCATTCATTGAACCCAAACTAAGCAGATGTTCGCCACATGTGTAGCCTTGAAATTTCTGCCACTAAGACTTGTGTGGACTATAAAAGTGACTTCATAATCTACTTTGGTCATGAGACCTCCCATTACTTAGACCATAAACTGAAACTTGCTTCTGCATAGGAAGGATATTTTGAAAAATATTTGGCAGGTCATGCTCATCATTTGTGGTATGCCTGGTGGTCCTCTATTGTGAAGCCAATGTTTTAGTGAAAACATTTCTCTTTAATATTTTTGAACAAATTGTAATCCTCTATTGAAAACATCTTGAGTACTCGAGGGAATTCTTTTCAAGTTTTGAATGCGAGATGGATTTTGTTAGTTTAGGATTCAGCTGGAAAATGTGAATTTTAGATTTGCTTATTTTGGTATCTTCTCCCAGTATTCAGTCCCTTTTAGAGAGTAATGGATGTGTCTGTATTGCTAAGGCATGGTTAATACTCAGGAGTATTTGGCAAGATTATGAAAGGGGTCAGATCCACGGGTCCCAAGCAAAACTGTCAAATCCGACTTAGCTTGATGTCTTCCTGGTGCATCTCAGATCAGTTCAGACTCCTGGCTGGGACTGACGTCGCCTCTCTTTCTCCCGCTGTAGGTGGCTGCCTTTTTGATGAGCCGTACAGCACGTGTGGGTATAGTCAAGCGGACGATGACGACTTCAACTGGGAGCAGGTGAACACCTTGACCAAGCCGACGTCTGATCCGTGGATGCCTTCAGGTTTGCTCTCGCTGCGAAATAGGGGCATCTGGGGAGAGTTCATAATCCAAGAACGCCGTCTACTGGGTATCAGTTGAAGGCAAACGCACGTTGTTCTTTGTGTGCTGTGCTCAGTTGCTGAGTAGCTGGGGAGGGTAGTGTAACTAAGAGGGCTGATTTCAGGTATTTATTTAACCTTGCATCTCTTTCTGTAAAGACTAGCTGGGTTTTGCCCTCTGAAGCGTTGGGCATGTGTTAGCTGATTAGTTGACATTGTCCAAGCAGGTGACCCTTTCTCTAGCAGCAGATATGGGGATCGGTTGGATGTCTGTTCTAGCAAACACGTGTCGAGGGTAGGATTCTAGTTGCAGAATACAAATAGCATGATTTCCACCTACCACCCATTCCAGGCCTTGAAGGGAACCTCCTTTCTCTGCCTCAGGCCGAGGGGCTCTTGTGTACCCGGGAAATGAGGATCTTGGGAGCATTCGGAAGGGGCATGGGTATGTTTTCTTTCTTCCTCTACAGAGGAGTGGTTAGTGAATTTCATGCTAACTAGAAATACTTACCTTACTGAGGATCAGCGAGACTTTTTTTTTTTTTTTTTTTTTTGGCAGAGTAGAAAAGACGATGATTGATCTAATCACAGCAGAGCCTCTTTTTCAGCCTGTGACCTTGGCAGTCCTTTTAAAGTCTTAGATTTGCAGATTCATTATTGAAAATGGGCCGATGAATGTACCATTTAGTATTCAAACTGCTCAAAACATATGATTGAGATTTGGGCTTCAGATAAAACACATTTTTGTACTTGTTCATGAATACAAAACTTTTCATTAATGTGCCTACATGCAGCGGTAATTAGAATTTGCAGGTAATCTCATAAAGGCAGCTTCAAAGCATGAGACAGAATCTAATGTTGTTCTTAATAAGTTTTATCAATTATGATGCCCACCCCGGACTTTCCTCTCCTTCTCAAATTTAATTCCTTATCATTTCAAGTCAAGAATCCCAATGTCCTTAACACTGTGGCTTTGCCAGGCTTCCAAATCTTCACAAGTTTTGTTTGGGTTCCCAGATCTCTTTCTCCTTTGCTGCCTTTCCCTTTTTCTCAAGTGTGCCTGCCTTTCCATACTGCTTCTGGAGTTAGTGGGCCCCTCTTAGTTAGTTTGCTCCACTCCAGACCCTGTTTTAGCTGTGATTGACAGATAAGAACATGACTTTGTCCTTGCTGCATTGTTCCTCCCCAAGCAGTGTTCTTGCCCTGAAATCCTTTGAGTCTTTCTCTGACATCTCCCCAGGTTTTCATTGATTTTCAGAAAAGCTGAGGTGGGCGAGAGCTAGACCAGGTAGGTGTGTCCATGCAAGCACAGACATGGCTGATGTCATGTCTGTCTTCTCATTTGATGAAGTCTGTACCTCTCTGTGTGCTTGAATGACACTAAAGATGGGAACCAGAGACACTTGCATGTTAGGCAAGTGTTCCATCTACCACTGAGTTACACCCTGAGCCCCCAATTTGTAATTTTTTGAATTAGATATGTTTTATTACTGTGACCCCTTATATTGAAAGATTTTTTTTTCCAATTTGGAAAAAAAATTCTTTTTAAAAGAAGCCCAAATACTGCAGAATTCTTCCCTTCAGCCTGTGCTGATTTTATCTGAGTCCTAAGAGAAGCAACTCACTTGATGAAAAGAGGCTTGCCACCGAGCCTAATGACCTGAGTTCGATACCCAGATCCACAGGATAGAAGGAGAGAACCAATATTGTCCTTGTATCTCTCATCGTAGGAACCAAACCCAAATCTACAAGTGTGTGTGCATGCTTGTGCACATACACACCCTCCCCCCACAGTCTCATACATGTCATACACAATAATAAATATGTAAATACAAGAACAAAAACTATTAAAATCCTCATGGTCAATGGATGGCAGAGAGATCCATATGGCTTTTGGGAGCATATTGTTTATGTCTTTATTTAATAAGAGTATTGGATTTGTTCTCACGTGTGTACTCCTTGGCCTGCTACATATAGGCTGATGCTGTATCCATTCAGATAAAACAGTCATCCTGCTGGCCAAATCCAGCCCCCTGCCTGCTTTGATATGGCTTGCAAGCTAGGAGTGGTGTCTCCATTTTTAGGTGATTGGGATTGAAAACTTTTAGTATTCTGTGACATGAGAATGTCAAATGTCTGTGCCGTGGAATTTTATTGGCACGCACCTCTGGCCATTCAGATGCGCAGTGTCCCGTAGTGTAAGCTGTGCCGTCTCCTCGTTGGTTGGAACAGAGACTTGGTGGTGTGCAGAGACACAGCCTTCATGCTGACCGTTCCTGGGGAAGTGGGCACTCCCACGGGAGGCTGTTAGGTAGCAGCCTTTAGCTGAGTGTTGTTACGGATCTTGGCTTATGGTTTTTCATTTTCTTTCTGTACTCACATTCTAATTATTAACCAGAAGAATTTTTTCACAATTCTGTTCACTTCCTGTTTCTGTGGGTTTCTGACCACTGTCTTCTCTCTCTCCTTCATTGTCTAGTGCTGATTACACTAGTCTGGGTTTCACTACTGTGACTCTTGTTAGCAAATAGCCCATCAAAGTGAGTTTCGCAATGATTCAATCCTAAAATGTTGGCCGGTTTTGGTCTTTTATTTTATTCTGTCCTGTCTGGAGCCAGAGGTGGGATTTGCCCCTTGGTACGTTGGAGGCTATTTATAACTGCATTACAAAAACTCATCACAGTCTGAAGCTTTGTCCACGCTGACTTGATCACTCCTCTGAGCTGAGTGTTTAGCTCTAGAACTGCATGTTTAAGACAAATGAATGCCAAATATCGCGCAACTTTGTGTATTTGAACTCCTTGCTTCTGTAGTACGCCCTGTGCCGCAGTGGTTTTCTTCAGGGCGCAATGACAGTAAAACCGAGCTTCTTTCATTGTGAAGGGTGTGTCTTGTTTCTTAGGCATTGATCGTCTTCATGAGCACTGGGGGCACTTACTTTTAGTTTTTACCATAAGGATTGCTGCTCTGAGCATGGGAACTTGGAGCCAAATCAGAATAGGATTCTGGCGGAATTGGTTAAGCCCTGAAAGGCCACATTATGTCCTGCGAGTGTCACACAAGCAATCGCTCTAAGTGTTTCATGACTATGTACCATGTACCTGTGCAGGACAGTGTTCCATGTTTTTTCTGCATTTTGCTCCTGTATGATACTTAGTACTCTAGTTCTAAATGGTGGATACTTACTTAATTTCAGTACTTTTTTTTTTTTTTTTGCAGTACTGGGGAGTGAACTTCAGGTCTTACTCATGCTAGGCAAATGTGCTACCCATGAGCTATATTTCGCACAAGTTTTATCCTTTTGTTTTGAAACTAGGTCTCAGTAAACTATTCCAGCTGACCTTGAACTCACTCTGCAACTCCATATAAAGCCTGAACTTGTGATGCCCCTGCCTCAGTATCCTCAGGAGGCATGTACTATGAGGCTAGTCTTTAAGATTGACATTGAAGACACTTAAGAGATGACTCAGTGGTTAACAGCATGTGCTACCCTTGCATAGGACCTGGGTTTAGTCTCCAGCACCTTTTGGTAGCGTTCACAGCTGTCTATCACTCAAACTTCAGGGGATGGATCTGATACTCACTTTTGACCTTCACAGATGCGTGCAATCAAAACTCAAAAGCAAGCACATGCACGCGCACGCGCGCACACACACACGTTTAAGATAATATATTTCTAAAAACATATTATGAAATAAACTTTGACCCTATTTCAGGGGTAGGTAGCCCCATTCCCGCTTCCCTGTAAGCATAGCTTCCCATCCTTGTCTTAGCTTTACATGTTGGGGTGATGTTGTGACTTCTCTGCAGGGAGGTCCAGTGACTAAGGACTAATTCCTGGCCACTGTGTCAAACTGAAGGCGGGAGACGGAGTGCCTGGCAGAGCAGCGATAGACACTCTTGGTGCGATGACCCAGAAAATGGAAAAATGGCCGTGTGTGTGTGTTTAGCATCAGCTGCGCATTGGGGAGGATGGCGGTCTGACAGGGTAATTGACGTTTTCTCTTTGGGCACACTTATCAGGCATGTTTTGCACATGCTAGCGTTGGTCTCCCCGTTTATTTGCACTCTGAACCCCCTGCGGTGTTCTGGGAGTAAAGAAGAGAACAGCTGTGGTCTTGGAAAGGCCGACTTTCCTCTTAAGTCATGGTGTGGACAACAGTAAGAAATATTTTTTTTTTGTCAGAAAATATTCAAACGTTTGTTTAGTTGTCTCATTGATTCTTGAATCAGCTGCCCCTCTGTACAGTGTTGATTTAACACCTGCCATGTGCCGGGCATTGTTGCTGGATGACCAGGAATCCTCCCTGTTGTGAGAGATGTTCTCCCAGAGTGTCCTTATGGTCTAGACAGGTCAAAGGTCAGATGCCGTAAAGTGTGTTTGCTCTTGTCTAGCCGTGAGGTGGTAAATATTTAAATGCTGATGTCACATTCAGTTCATCCAACTTAGCACTCAGCAGTAGGAGGCTGGGAGGCTGGGCTGAGGTTTCCTTTACGTTTGGCCCCGTAAACAAAACAGAACAGACGACAGGAAATCAACCTGTCTCCGAGACAGCATTATCTCAGGCAGAAAGATGATGCTAGCGGTTGACACGCGTGTCCTCCCAGCTCTGTGCCATTGACCCTCGGAGTGGCCCCAAGAGACTGGCTGGCAGTGTCCGTGCTTTTCACCCCAGGAAGCAGGAGTTCTGAGAAGTAGAGCTTGTGGGAAGAACAGCCTTCAGTTTTGCTTTTCTGACTGTCCTTGGATGACCTTGTAAGGGCAAGTATACGTATGTGGCGAGGTTGTTGGTGTTCAGTCTCGGTGGCATTATCTAGCACCTTTGAATGGTCATGAAGGCTGCCTTCTAGGGGGCCGCCTGCACACCCTGCAAGGACCGGCCACTGCCCTGCCCCTTCATAAGACTCTCCCGTAAGTTCTTATGCTCTTGGTTTTATAATGTCCTCTTGTAATACGATCAGC